GCGCCCCCCCCCAGTCCCTTCCCCAGGAGAGGCTGCGGCGTGAGGGCATGCTGTTGGGTTATGCGTTGTTGCTGTGTGTATGTTAAGTTGCGGGGGAAGGCACAGGGTTGACAGTCCCGGAGGCAAAGGTTTTCAAGTAGCCTCAGGGAGGTACAAGGTGGGCCTTCACGGGCGTCCTCCTGCCCTGCGCAGCCAGACATCCAAAAAATGCTAACGCGGGGCTGACTTGGGATCAGACGGGTTTAGAGGAGCGTGGGGGTTGGGAGCTGCCTGTGCCGTCGGAACCTGCCGGGTGCGCGCTTGTTATAGTTACAGGCGTCCCCGCGACAAAGAGCATGCGGCTCTCCAAGGGAAGCTACCGCTCGCGTGTTGTCCCAGGACTCCGGCAGCTGGGCCTTTAAGAACTAAACAGCGTCACACACGAGGGCAACCTGCCGTGCTGCGGATGGGGCACGACGCGGGAGCTGGGAACGATCGGTCTGTGCCGCTAGCAGGAGCCGGCTCGGAAGGGGGTGGAACAAGGTTCATACAGAGGGTGCTGAGGGCAGCAGCCCTGTATTTCAGGTGTTGTTACCACTGCCAGCCAGGGGACAGGAGCACCCCAGTTCCAGCACCCAGGGACGGGCCACGCCCCCACCCATTATAACAAAGCCAGATAGGAAGTACAACCGACATCGCTCTTAAAACCCTCTCCCTCCATGCAGCCAGGTGCGCCCACGCGCTCGGCAACACGGGGCCCGAAACGGACACGCAGAAGGCGTCTTCCTTCCACCTGCTGCCCCCGCGTTTCCTCTGCAAGCGCCCTTTCGTCAGCCCCCCCCCTTCTCCTAGCCCCCGGACCAATGCTTCCGCCCGCCCCCTGCCCTTCCCAGCATGCTTTGCGGCAGGGGCAGGGCATTCTGGGAGAGAACGTTTGTCGTGCGCTCTCGTTTCCTGGCCAGGAGGAGTCTTTCCCGCCTTCCCCTCTTCTCCACTGTAGAGGAAAACGCTCCGTCCTCACCCGGAGCATTCGCCTCTCGACGGGCCCCGGCCCACGCGCAGGGAGCCCAGCCCTGTT